TTCTACCCACAGTTAGCTGAGTCTTTGAGTTCCACATGCAGAAGGCTGACTGTAGTTTTAAAAGTGCCTTTGCCCTGTTGAGGAGCGCCCCTGAGAAGCAGTAAGAGAGGCTGCAGATGGCTCTGTGGTTTTTTGACAACAGCAGCCAAGGGTCAGGGAACCCTACAGGCTGGGCCATGCCTTGAAGAAGAACCAAACCAGAATGAGAAGCCCCATCCAGCAACACACAGCGAAGTCATCTTTAGTGTTTAACAAGTTCATCTTGTTTGGGGCCAGCCTGACAATTCAGTAATGACCACAGCTGTAACCAGAGTTTCCTCAGAGGATTTGTCCCCAAAGCAGACACAAATCAGCCACTAGGCCTCTGCCTCCAGGTCCCTGTCCAGTTTCTGGAATGAATTTGGGACAAGCATAGCATGGAGCGGCTGCCCTAAGATTTTATCAGACTTCTCATGAATTTCACTGCAGTGGGAGGATACAGAGGAAAGTAGCTATTGGGGTTCATGGCCAGTACATTTCTGGGCCTGATTTCCAGTTCTCTTTACCCTGAGTTGGAAGCAAGTTGAGTCAACTAGTTTCCTGTTTGGGTCTTCACTATGATTAGTGACAAGGAATCATGAGGCAGATGGAGGTTTCCCAGACTGCTGGGGGCGGGGGGGGGGGGCAGTAGGCATCTACCAGTGTCTCTCTCTCCCCTGGCCCCCCTTAGCCAGATGAGTGCAGGGGGAGGGGACCCTGACCATTGAGCTACAGGAAGCAGCAAACCCTGGGCCCAGTGTAGGCCTGTGGCAGTAATGGGTGGTGGGGGAGCTGCAGCTGGCCTGGGTGTGGCTCCAGGGGCACTGCTGGGGCAATTCTCATTCACACCCTCCTGTCTGTTGGAGCCACACTTTCCTCATCCGGGAAATGCTCAAGGGCCGGTGGCGAAATCAATCTGTCCTTCAGTCTTCATTAGCGAGGCTCACAAAGTGTTGAAAAGAGCCAAGGAGAATTTTAGGAAAACAAGTATTGTAGGTGTTCCTTCATTTGAGGAGGATTTATTTATCCATTGAAACTTTTTTTTTTCACACCAACTCTGTGTTAAGTGTTAAGGATTCCAAAATGAGTAAGATTTGGCTTCTTACCCTCTTGGGTTCACCATCCGATGGGGAAGATAGATAAATATGCAAACAATCATGGAAAACTCGCTGCCTGATAACGGGAGTGTGTGTCAAGTGCTCAGCGATGCCTGGAAATATCCAGACAGCTGACGTGGGAGCCAGATCTTGCCAAAGGCATCGGGGCACCCAAAGGGTGCCAGGTATTTAGGGGAAGTCTGCGGCTTGCCAAAAAGAACTTTGCCTGAGGATCACAGTGAGGCTTGAAAGATTTTAAGCAGTGACTGAAAGGCAAAGAAGGAAATGTGGACATTTATTTGAAATTCCAGTCTATCAAAGGAGAAACTTTTCCCTGCTCTTCGTGCTGGGAAATGGTTGGGATTTGTGTCAGGACCGCCCATGCTGTTTACACAGCCAGCTCAGGCCACGGGTGCTGGCTTTTACAGGCCGTGCCTGGGAAGGCATTTTCTGTGGCTGTTTCCCAGAGACCCTGGATAAAGTCCACAGACTTAGAAAGTCTGTGCTGATTCTTACCCTCTATAGAGTCAAATGTTCCTTGGAGAATGAGAGGAAAGCAATAAACCATCTTCCCAAAAATACATTTACTTTTGCATTAAATTCAGGAGTTTCCAGAACACCTCCCCCTCCCCCCTCCTGGGCCATTCATGTATTCCAGGTAAAGAACTTCCCACCTTTCCGTGGGCTGTTAGTCAGGGGACTGGACCAGACCAGACATAGGGCTTTATGGTCACCTGGCCTCATGTGGACATGAGGCTTGGAGACTTCTGGGGAGGAAATGTCCCAAGGCAGAACTTCAGTTTGCCACGGCTAAGGTTTGGCCAGGGCATGATGCTGACACATGGCCCTATGGTCCTGGTCCTGGCAAACATAGAAGCAGCTTTTAAGCTTGGTAGTTTTGCTGCCTATCAAAGAAGCAGGGATCTGCCATGAAATCAGTGACTGGAAAACACTTTCCACCAGATTATTCTGGTTGCACTCAAGCATGTGGGCTGGTTTGTGTCCTTTCTTCTGACTTGAACTGGTGCATCCAGAGGATTGGGAGGACCTGGTGATGACTGTGGCCATCCAAGGCCATCTCAGATGGAAAGAGCAAGGGTGATGTGTGGGCAAGCAACAGGAGGTATGTGTCATGTACTCATAGCCAGAGCTTTGAGAGGAAATGGAGTCTGCATTCAGAGAGCATTGGCAGACCCAGAACTAGGGAGAGGCAAGTGAGGTCTTTGGTGAGCACATAATGTAAAAAGAACGTGCCCCCAGAACTCACTGAGATAAATCATATTTTTGTACAGTTTTTTTTTTTTTTAGAAAAAATCAAATTAAATGCAAAACAATCATAATGAATACAATTTCAGAATTTAATAGAAAGAGAATGCAATGCTGCCTTGGCATGTCACATCTGCCTCACTGACTTCCTGGTTCCAGCCTTGGGCTTTGAAGCTGAGAAATTCATATCCACAAAGTCTCCAGCTTGTGTTTGAGTAACACCTGTGAATTTCAATAAAATTAGGACTTGGGTACTGGTGATTAGTTCCTGCAGCTGTCCAGAGATGTTTCCCAGCAGTGTGAACACCGCTCAATCTCCATTAAACTCTCCTGCCAGCCTGTCTGCCCAAGGAATTTATGTTGGCAGTGACCCAAAACTTCCACCAGGTGGCACTCTTGCTCCAACCTGGTGCACCCGGAAAGGAGCCTCAGCCAAACTAGCCAGATTTCAACTACAGTAGTTGCTTACTTGTTGTTTGAGAGGTCACAAGGAATCGGGAGCAGGAATTAGGGTAAACAATGACGTGATGTGCAGAGGACTGGGGAAATGTTCTGGAGAGCTTGGAGCAAGGTAGGGTCTGATTTGGGACCACAGCCTATGCTGCTTTTCAGCAGGTGAGAACAGTGAAAATCTTAAGCCTCTTTTTATCCTGGGATGGAAGATAAACACATGTGACAGGGGAAAGAAAGGTGGAATTAATGGTTTTCTGCAAAGTGTAGCCTGGTGGTAACCGCTCAGGCACTTGAGTGGGAAAGACCTGGAATGTTGGCTCCTTTACTTGCTAGCTGTGATCTGGGATGAATGACTGGCCTTTGCTAAGCGTAAGAGTCTTCATCTTGAACTGGGGAATTATTGTAGCTGCTCTCCTGGAGGGCTGCTGGAGGATTAAATAAACAGATGCACATAAGTCTGCATGGTGCCTGGCACATAGTAAGTGTTCAGCAAAGGAGAGGTGTTACTGTGGACTTTGGGGCAGAGGCAGCCTGGCTGAATTCCTGGCTGTAAGCCTCCCCTGGCCATTGCATTAAGGAGATGACCTCAGGGTGACCTAGAGAAATAACCTGATAATGAACCATGGCTTCAGGAGACTCAACTAGAAGAATTTCCCACCTGGTTAGAGTTTCACAGGTGTGATTTTCGAACCAGGAAATGAGGCCAGCTTCCTGGGTTCCCCAGCAGAACAGTCTCAGCCTTGGTGGCTTGGGAACATCTGACCACCAGGTGACTGATCCCACTTAAGCCATGCATTGTTGTAGAAAGTATCCATTTACACGCCTGTGTATCAGAAGCTTTCCATTAATCTAGTCTGTCTCCTCCCTGTTCTGAAATCCAGAACTCACAGAGATGCATCCAAATGAACAGTTCTTCGATGACGGTGATGTTGAAAATAGTTCCTGTTTATTGAGGTTTACTTTATGACAGTCACTTTAATAAGCAGCTGGAGAGGTGAGCAAACCCATTTTACAGACAAGTACACTTAGGTTCAGGGAAACTTAGTGACTTACCAGAGCTCCTTCAGCTGGGAATTAGTGTAAATTTAGGTCTTTCTGACTTCTCAATCCATCAATGAATAGATTGCTTAAAGAATCAATCATTTATTTGATATGTTAAGTACAAACTGTTCCCCTTTGTTGATGGCAAGTTCCTTAGAGACTTCTAGGGCCAGGGAAATCTTTGTTGGTGACAACTGAGGCTCCTTTCTTGAAAACATGAGATATACATGGCTGCACTTTTGTAGCTACAGACACATAACTCACATCTGTGACTTTCTATGTAGCACACTCATACTCCTGGGCACCATGACCCAGAATGTGACCCAGTCTTGTGTCTGGCACACTCCCAGGATTCCCTAGAGCGATGCTTTGTGCTATATCCACTCTTGGAAAGGAGGCCAGACAATACTGCTCTCCACGGATCTGCAGTGACATCTGCTTGCTGGCCTAGGGGAAAGTATGTTGGCCAAATAGCTTCCTTTTCCAGTGGGATGAAGTTGGACATGAAAGGATGTATCTGAACCAAGAGATCAGTTCAACCTTGGGCACAAGAAGGGGCCAAAAAGCAAATGCTGTCTTTCTGAAGATAAGGCATCGCCAGCCCTCCAGAGAGGAAACTTGGTTTTCTGGTTTTCCCGTTTCAAACTGGAGTGGACAGGTGGGAAGTCTGGAAGCTTCTTCGTGTCGGTTCCTGGAGTCAGTGGGGGAGTCAGAGTGGATAAATAAGAGTTCCCACTTACAGCATGTTTGGATTTCCCCCAAGTACACTTTATTACCTCTAAGTTCATACTGTGGCTCAATTTAGACTAATAAAATTTTCTCTATCACAGGAAGTCCACTGAGTGGGTTTTAGTTATTCAATTACAGAACAAGTTTTCTCTAGGACTTAAACATTATTTTCTCAAATTGTTTCAATGAAAATATGGTTGGCTTTATTTATAACTTTGTAAAAAAGTCACTTCCTGTTTATATTATTACCATTAATTTGATCTCAAGCATCAATGAGGTTGATGGATTCAGAGAGAAGAAAAACTAATGTGATTTTCTTTTGCACATAAATCTTTTTGTTAAAATAAAAGTAAGCCAAAATAATATCATAAAAAAGGAATCACTAAAATGTCTTCAGGACATACATGTGTTGAAAGATGACTTTTATTCTTAAGAACTGCATGTCCATTCACAGAGAGGCTTGGAGGAAGAGGCTGTGTCTTACCCATGCCTTCATCCTTGGTCTCTAGCGTAGGAACAACATGGAGTCTGTGATCTGTAAGTGAAAAGGATCAAGAAGCAATGTGTATATTTACCAATTCCCCATGATGAATGCATTGGTTGTATATCACAAACATATACTAATAAAAGTGAAAAAAACTAAATGCACACCGATTGGAATTCAATCCTGCACATAGATTCTCCTTTATGTGATTCCCTGTCCTTTTCATTCACTATTGGCACTAGCTGTCTTGACTGGAAAGCACAGCACAGGAGCCAGGCTCAGAGCCCCCACAAGCAGGCCAGGTAGGGACCCTAGAGAACTCAGTTCACATCCCTTCCTTTTTTTCTTTTGGTATGGGGAGATGGTCCATAGCCTCAGGCGAGCCGCAGGTCAGACGAGTGAGCCAGAGCCCTTTGATTGAGCACTTACACAGGTAACTAGAAACTTGGCATTCACTCCCTTTTCACTCTCATGGAGGGTTGTGAAGCCCTACACAACACTAATATTATACTCATCTGTAGATAGGAAAAACAAGTCCTTGATCATCAGGTAACTTGCATGAAGGAAGGCTGAGATTCAAATCTGGGAGTTCAGAATAGAAACCACGTGCATGATGCCAAACTTTGTCTCAGCAGCAGCATCCAAGCAGCCAGGAGAGGAGCAAGGGCACAACTTAGAATGGCACCGGGTGTTTGTGACTTTCTGAACAAGTGAATTAAAAAAAAAATTATTATTATTATTATTTATTTATTTATTTTTGGTACCAAGGATCAAACTCAGGACCTTGCGCTTTCGAGGCAGGCGCTGGAACCACTAAGCTAAATCCCTGGCTGAACAAGTGAATTTTGAGGGAGCTGGAGGACTAGTGGATGATGTGTCGGAACCTGCCAGAGAGCTCAAAACTGAAACTCCCTTGGGACTGAACAATTTCGTATTTTATTCTTTTTTTCCCTCCAAATCTACCCATGGGCAGGGGGAGGACTTGAAAGAAACTGTCAAGATGGAAGAGCACTTTATTTCTTTTGCGTTTATTTTAGAAGGACTTTATCTAATGCTCCCTAGCAAGTCTCATACTCTTTAATTAGAAAATAATTTCCAGAGGTCAAAAGAACCAAGGGATTCCTAGGTTCTAGTTACACCCTCAAGATGAACAGGCTCAACACCCATGCACTTTTACTGGCTTTAATTACTTTTCTATTATCTTTTTGGCTGGTTTGTGTGACCCTGAAAAGTGCCACAGTGTCTTATTAAGCCACTCTTTTCCAGCCTTCTTTCCGCACTCTAGAGTCTGTAAACTGCTTATTTTTGTCTCTATTTTCTATGTGACAATCAGGTGAAGAAGAGGCTCTGGCCCAAGAGGGGGGTAGGTGGGAGAATTCAATGAAAAGTCATGAAAATAAAGTCCTGTGGTAGGGTGTCCTCAAGGGCCTTAGTCTGCTGGGAGATGCATGGGCCACTGCAGTCCAAGCCCCCGGGGCACCCATGGGTTCCTCTGATGGGACCAGACTGAGACCTACAGGAAGGTCCATTTCCCACAGGAAGTTCTCCAGCTGTATCCAGCACCTTGAGGACTCTTCCTTCTAAACTTTTCCTCTTAGTCAGAGTGACCTCGGATCTTCAGTTGATTAAAGAGAAAAGCTACTTTGTCGGTAGAAAGGGAAGCATTTAAATTGCCAAGAGATTTAATGCAATGATCTCTCCTTGGCTGGGAGGTGGAAATGAGGAAGAGTGTGAAGAGGAGCCAGGGAACTTGCACAAAACCAACCAGTTTCCTCACTAGCTCTCAGTGGATTGAGAATGTTTGCTGAGATTTGTGAAGCTTTCTGCAGCACTGCTCAGTGCATTAAAAAGGGCGATTTGGAGAAGTAGTTTCTAGTGCTTTCCAACTCTTACACCTTCCAGGTTGGTTGTTTTTTAATCCACTTTGAAACTTTAGGCATTGAATTTTCATTAGGTTTCTTGAGGACACCCCCATCCCCCCCCCTTCATTAGTTTGCCTAGAACTGCAGAGCAAAGTACACAGTGCCACAACCTGGGTGGCATTAATAGCATTAACCCTGCTTTGCAGTGTGGGAGAACTCAAAGACCAAGGTGACCCAGGCCTGGTTCCCTGGGAGGGCTGTGAGGGAAAAGTCTGTTCTGGGTCTTTCATGGAGCTTCTGATGGTTTGCTGGTTATCTTTGGCCTTTCATGGCTGGTTGACACGTCACACTGGTCTGTCCTCTCATATTCATGTGGGATTCTCCCTGTGTACTCCTATCTTCCCCTCCAAATAGGATTCCACCAGTAGTACTGCGTGAGAAGCCCACCCTACTCCAATATGATACCTTCTTGAAATGAGTTACACCTGCAATGCCCTAATTCCCAAATAAGGTCACATGCTGAGGCTAGGACTTCATATGAATTTTAGAGGAATGCAGTTCAACATATCATATTCCCTATAGCACCACTCCGTTGCTGCTTAAACTCAGAGACGTGAACTCCTGCCTGCTTGCTTCCAGGGTACTCTCTACCATATGAATAAAAGACTCCCGAGGTGCCCAACAAGATTGCCCTTGGCCTGTGAGGGCCCTGGGAAAATAGTTTGCTGGGGCTCTCATCTTTAAAACCATGTTTATCACAATATCCCGAATAGAAAGAAGTGTGGAAGAAAAATTAGAATGGGTGGAGAAGAGTTATAGACAATCACATGTCACTCAGTGACATCCTGAGAAATGCACTGTTAGTCAATTTTGCCATTGCCAGAAATCATGGCACTTACATAAACCCAGATGGGACAGCCTACTGCACACCTGGGCTAGGATAGTCTAGCCTGTTGCTCCTAGGGTCCAAACCTGTATAGAAAACATTACTGTGCTGACTACTGTAGGCAGTTCTAACACAATGGTAAACATATATATATATACATATATATGTATATGTATATATATATTAACATAGAAAAAGAACAGTAAAAATACCAGATGATAAAAAATTTTTCAGCCCCTTCACAATCTCAGGGGACCACTGTTGCATATATATTTCATGGTTGACTGAAATTTCATTATATGGTACACAATTATATGTATTGTCCACTTAGTGCACATGGAGATTCTTTGCAGGGTCCAGGAACAATTTCCTATTGCACTTTAGTGTCAAATACACCTTCCCTGGTTACTTTCAAGTTTCCTATAGTAAGAGGCAGGGAGTGAACAGTTGTTACAATGCCACTGTTATTATAATCCTGCCCCCTGGGGCCACTCCCTTAGAGTGTTCAGGGACCAGCACTGTGCTCCAGGTGAGCCCTGGCTGCAGTGGCTCTTGCAAAGTTGTCCTTGTGCCTTCCTGTTGAGGATGAATACAAAATGGCAGTCCTCCCTTAGAATGCAGGAAAGGGTAAACATCATTACTTTACGGCGCTTTGAAGTTTTGTAGCATAAATGCAGAGTATCTTCCAACTGTTTTCTGAACTCATCAGGTAGTAATTACTGCCTTCCTAGAATATCATCCGTTAAGGCAGGAGGAGTGCGCCCTGCTGCCACAGAGTTCCACCGGCCTGTGGGTGGAGGTCTGCAGGGAGAGAGCAGAGCAGTCCTATTCCTGCAAATGTCTGGTTGGGGGAAGCAAGACAGCACCACATCCACAGGGGATAAGAGCAGGTGTTGGCTAGCGGAGTTGGTGTTGAGGAGCACTGGGCCCGGGAAGACAGTACAGCCTGTGTGGAGGTGGGTGGCTGTTTTGAGTGCTTACAAATGGACTGTAGGGCTGATGTCACAGGCTCTCCAGGTTAGTGCTGTGGACTCACAGAAGGTCCCAGTGTGGAGAGGCAAGAGCCATGAAGGACCCACACATGTAACTTTCAGGGTGCACAGTAGATGGCCAGTACCTGCCCTGTGTTTCACTCGAGGGAGTCTCCCCAAGTCCCATGTCAGCACCCCAGGTAACTCCACCTCTTGTGCAGTGAAACAATGCTCTGGGCGATGAGAGTGACCCAGACATCCCCGCTGGAACCGCGGCAGCCACTGGCGTCCTGACAACCTCAAAGGCGCAAGGGAGACATCGAGTTCTGCAGACACCTACTCGAGGTGCCTCGGGACAGCTTCACCAGCCCCTGCAGATCCAGGCACCCATGCGCAACCTGAAACATTTCAAGGGAGGGGCCCTACAGCCCAGGGCAGGACAGGCTGCTCCCTTCCAGGGGCCACACTGATGCCCAGCCCCAGCCCTGGAGATTCAGATGGCCGGGACCAGGGTAGGGGCTCCCCCATCTCAGTCTTCCTGAGCACCACAGCACTCGGGGCTGAAGAGCCACGGTCATCTGGCACGGTGATCTCACTCACTGAGGCACAAGCCTGGTCACACCTTGGAATCACCAGGGAGGTTTAATAAACTCTAAAACCTGGAGCCGCAGTCAGAGTCTGGGCTGTAACTTGCGCAGGAAGTGGGCACATACCTTGCACTTGAGGTGGCTTTATAAAAATCTTCAGTGGCGCCCTGCACCTGATTGGCCAGCAAGCTACTGCTCACTCAGCGTCGCCACCCCTGAGGGCTGCCTTTGTGGGAGATTCCACTTTGTCCCCTTGTTCGGGGCTCAGTTGGCTCCTCCTGTCCCTGCCAGTGGTATCGTCCTCAAATCAACCCAAGAGGCAGACACAGGGCTTTGGGGAACCAGGACAAACTCGGACCTTCCTACAGGTGTTTGTGGTCACCCATGGTGGACAGGCCTGGGGCTGAGTGTGAGGAATCATGTGTGTGGTCGGAAACTCCTCTGGCCGCTCACCCTCCAGTTCGAAGGCTGCACTTCTCTCCCTAGGGCTGTGTTGGGCCAGCCTGACACCAGGGTCACCTTGTGGCTGCTCCTCCATGGAGGGCCAGGTGTTTTTACAGCGTGTTTGGAAAGTCAAAGAATTTTACTCACTAGAAACTAAAAACATGGTTTTAGTGTCACAATACATGAGAATGCTATGAACTATAATGTATAATTTACATACTTTAAAAATGATAATGTATATTGAAGAAATTTCATGCTGATATGAGATGTTTTAGGCTAGCCTTCCATTTGTTTTAGTCTA